CCCAAATTTCCAATTTCCAATGGAGTTGAAATTTGGGAAAAAAGAGGTGTAATGGCCGATGGAGCAACCGGGGATTCAAAGATAAAAAAATCCGGATTTTTTCCCAATATCCAAACTACCGCTAAAAACGGTATTTGGAAATTTGGGAAAAAATCCGGGACCGTTCCCGGATTCAACTTTGTATCCCATAATAGTATCAAGTTGTATGCGCCAGAACTTTCAATTGGACGGAGGGAGTTTGACGAGACAACTTTGCAAAACTCATTGTGAACCTGCTTATAGACAACGTGGACATAACATTTCAGATCCAAAAAGGTGAAACAAAACCCTTCACATAGATGGCCGTAAGGAGACAAAATGTAATAGCTTTGCAAATTTCACTTCCAACATGGTCATGGATGTGAACACAACTTCACAAATGATCTTAAGATCATAGTTTGGTTTGAACAACTGAGATGCGACACTGAACATTCAAAAACTTGAACCGAAGGCGCCACAAATCGATACAAGTATAACATGAGCAACCGAGGTGATCGTTCGAATCGCGCTATCAACAGCTTCCTGACGGGACTGATCAACGAATTTTTGGCAACCGATCAATTCACAGTGCAATAATATAGGAAAGTGAATGAGGCTTACCGCAGTTACCATTGCAAAGGACACACCCGGAAGATATCGCGCAGTATACGAAATAATTACCACCACATCCTCGCTTCTCAAGCAACGTCTGGGGATTTCAGAGTGAACAAGATTGTCAGTGCGGATAATTAGATGCAATACTCGTTGTCAAAGGTCGTTGAGCAAGGACGCACACTGGGTGAGGGGGCAACACTTCCAAACCGAAAGAGAGCCAATAACTGCATAACAACAATTGCAATAGCGAGGCGTGGCTATAAGGGCACATCTTAGTCAGTCGAAGAAGCAAGGGAACCGGGTAAGTGGAAATCACAAACCATATCTTCGCGCTTAGACACTTGAGCTCTAGAATTGAGAAGGGTATGTAAGAAACCAATTGGAGAGTAAGACGAAAGTTATGTGTTGTGCGGATGGAGAGAATATATATAAGCTTTATCAAAGCCAAACAAAGTCCTATAGCGCTGATGACACAAGTTTTTGTGGGAGGAGGGGATAATGCTCGATGAGAGGACTACTTATCTGATTGGGCTCAGCAGAGCTCAGCAGCAGAGCTCAGCTATTTCTACCTCGAGATACTAGAGGCAATATTTTGGTTACTCCCGCCCGGCAGTTGGTTAGTTTTTGGTGACATTTTGTGATCAATTAGTCATTAAGGTCCCGGCGAATGAGCGACCAGTTGGTTGGCTGCTCTTCGTATTTAGAGTCGAGTTATGCTTTGGGATCAGTGGCCAAGTTCGTTCAAGTGCAAGAGCGTTCAGTCAAGATGGAGTGACATACCTCGAGGTTGACACTGGGTGTTAAAGATCATTTCCGACTCTCATGATGTTGTAGAGTCTTTTCCTTCTCCCAATTTCTTTATCAAAAAATTGTGTTCGAGAAAATCAAAAAAAATATTTTCAGTATCGTTATTATCTATTTTTCTTACTTTATCTATTATCTATCAGCAAGCTTAATACTGTTTCTCTATTATTAGTCGCAAGAAAATTTTTTGTCTTTCCGCCCACCACCCATCTTGTCTATCGAGGGGTTAAGTTTTATGTGGTGCAAAAGTATATACATCTCACCATTGTCTAGCAGTTTCTTTTTATGAGAGTGGTGAGCATCACAGTGGGATAGCTCAGCGCCAAGATTGCCCACAGTGCTCTCTATCATCTTTTTCCGCCCCGGGCCAAAACCTTTCTGCAATTCAGGCCCCCGGTCCATCAAGGGTAAAACACGTCGAGACACTCGCGTGTCTTGCTTGGCTGATTTGTGGACCCATTCCGCGGTGAATCGGTAGATTTTGACGCAGTAGCAGGAAATCTGCGGGAATAGTCATACCACGGATGTGTGGTTCAGACGTCCTGCAAGGTGCTGGACCCCCTTGAAGTTGTGTGACGGAGAAAGAAGGAAAGTCTTTACTCCCTCGAGTGGCTCCACCCATGAGGATCCCACTTCACTTCACCAAATCATCACTTTGAGAGCTCTTGAAGGCAATGCTTACATTTCATCATCATTACCGATATCATGTAATGTTTTCTTTCATTTCTATTCTACAAATTTGTTCTGCCTTTTCATCCAGCACGCGATGAAAAAAGCTACACAGCAATATAAAGATGTCGACGAAGTGCTTCCCCAAAGCAGGGAACACTGGCGCGCCTCTTCGTATCCGGAGCCCCCTGCTGGGGCCAATGCTATTCGATCCCTAGAGTTTTCATTGCCTTGAATGCTAGAGTGAGGAGGAGTACTTTTGATCTCTCTGACCGTGATCCCTTATGATCCGAGGACAATATCATTTGCACAAGAGAATTAGAAAGCAGAAGATGTTTTGATTAATTTTGTAAAGACTAAAGGCAACTTGTTATTTGTGGAAATGAATGCAGGTATTGGACTTTGTGAGGTTAAAGTTCTGTAACTCATGTCAACAGTCTGCATCCTTTGGAATGCTACAAGTGATCACGATCATTGTTTGAATTGAGTGTTCGACTAATTGATCCGCTTCAGTCTTCTCTGAATGTCAAGGAACTGAGGTTGCTGGGAAAGCGGTCAGTTTGGGTGAACAAGATGTAAGTAAGCTTGAGACCAGGCCTGGAGCTAGAAGAGCAGTACATCTGTGCAGCAGTCAGAAATCAGAACGGGGATAAATCGTTCGATCTCGGCCTTGCTTGTGAGGGCCAGGCAAGAAAGATTGTACGAATAAGGAGGCTTGTTCACAATTTCCAACTCACTTTTGCCAACCGTTTATGGTCATCGATATCTTTGAATCCAAATTGAAAAACAGATGGCTGATCAAAACAAGAAGAGCTTCGCGGACTACATCGCACTCGGCTTCGAGCATGAGACTGAATCATAATCGCCTAGGGGTCATCAACGTCCCGACGCTTGTGAGTGTGAACAAATCACATCCTGTACTACCATCAACCAGCCCAGGTAAGGCTCTAGAAGTAGTTTACCTCACAGGACTCGGAGCATACCATTTCAGATGGGCATTTGTGACTACAGCATTGGCATGAATGGCGTGTTCAGTTCAGTCCATCACAGGATGTTTCAGACTTTGCAGAATTGTTCGCCTCAAGCACGCTCTGGCATATATAACGAGCACTGAACATCGGCTCGTTTTATCATTCATCCCACTCCAAGTCAATCAATATTTACAAGCTTTCTTCATCAGTCAACTTCAACCAATAAGTAACTTTAACCACTCAGTAACCTCATCAATCAGTAAACTCTCGACATCTTCGATTCAATATCAAAAGCTGTTCGAGAATACAAAATCAGTCACTTCCTTCTTTTAAATTTCCTTCACAACTTTTCAATCTTTTTATATTTTCAAGATGTACATGCCCAAGGTCTTCGTCTTGATCGGGTTTTTTGTTTGTGCTTCTTCCTGCTTGATGGCAGGAATTATTTTACAAAGGAGTGAACGGCTGGTTACCGTCAATCAACAAAAACCTCAAGACGCCATTTACAATGCGGCCTCTACGCCGTACCCAAATTATCTGAGCCCCGCCAACCCAATGGAGCAAAGGTACCCCAATGGTATGTCAGCATTTATATTCAATCCATCAGATCAAATCCTCTAACTGATTCAAGTTTCTTTCCAAACTCACAGGAAGCTCCAAGGCAACCACTTCATACGCCCCCAAGGTCGATCAAGGCCGAATCTCACCCGAAGGACTAGAGACATCGACGTATTTCTATCCCCCGCCTCCACCAGTCGGTCTTCCAGCTTTGCGCGCCATGCCGTACCCGTTGCCTTCAACCGACACTCAGCGTCATTGTCCTGCTCGTACTCACCCAGACGATTTGACGGTCACGTTACCGTCTGAACTTTACCTGGAACGTTTTACTAAATGCGGACAAAAGATCGTTGTGGAGTTTGAAAACGTTGGAGGACAAGCATGGAGTGGCCCAAAGAACAACATCACACTTACACTCATCAATGCTTTCGATAGCCAACGCCGAACTGAAATTGGCCGTACGTTGATGTTGAGTGAAAAGGCTTGGAAGGAGGTTACTGGAAATGCTGTGATCAACAAGTTTGAATCATGGCCGGTGAAATACTTCTTTGTTGTTTCTGAAAGGGATGATAAAGGGCAGGTAAATGAAAATGGGGAATCGGAATCAGGTCAGTGACTTAATGACACTACTTTGACAAATCGTGATACTGACCTATGACCTTTCGTTGCAAATTTCTTCTTTGGAGATTCAGATGGGAATTCCACAACGGTGTATGGCTCGAACAACAGTAGCAGCTCGGATGATCCCCGAACGAGCAACAGCTAAAATTATTGTTAGAACCATATATGTGTAGAAGGCAAAGAGTCAGACGACTCGATCGCAATGATATGGCATCTTGAATAAAAAAACCAAAAAAATTAAAAACTTTTCAGTGAGAGTGTGAGAGTGTGAGAATGCGAGAATGTGAGAATTGGTAAAGAGAGACGCTATAGGTGATTTTGAGGGAAATGAAAAGAAGAAGAGACCATAAGCCAATCATGATGAAGTGTTTCAATTTAATCTTTGAATCATGAGTCAATTGCCCTGCTTTGTAAGACGATTGCTGGGTGATCAAATTGACCGTTATCACATCAAGTCTGTTGAAATCAAACTCGAAATTAAAGACTTGAACATCGGAGTGAAATGGTTCCTCTCTGAATCGATCATCTTACTAATCGGAATCATGTGATATGTTATTGCCTCACTCGTGAATCGATGAATCCATTTGATTTTTGAACAAAAAAATATCATCGAAAGTCGATTCTTTATCTTACTCTTAACCTTTTCTTTTTATTATTTCTCTTCATATGATTTGTGTCCTTACATCTTGATTTGAGAAGCAGTTTTGACAACACATTGATCAGTCAACGCATTATATCTGGAAATTAACTTACCTCCAAAAACTTGTTATTGAATGAGGTCAGGAGTAGGCAATCCTTGCGATCGAAGGAAGTATCTCTTTGGAAAAAATTGGCTTTCCCTCAATACATACATCATTCAGCGCACCCATTAGTTGCTGGTGATGAGATAAGGTGGAACACGGATCAAGATCAACAATCACAAGCGTACGTGGCACGTGAGGGAAGTTGTTTTCATGACACCACGGGAATTATCAAGTGTGAAACCCAATTGAGCAAAGTTGTGGTGACCAAGTCCGCAACTTTCTTAAAGTGCGGATCTTGTTTGCCATAGGTTTGCCAAGGGTTTGCTAGCTGCCCTAGAGCTTCCCTTGTGTTTTATTTATTCATTGTTTACTTTAAAGTGCTTTTGCTTTTGCATATTGCACTAAGAGCATCCACTATGGGTGCGGTAACCAAGTGATTTATCGTAACTTTAACGCTAAATTATACACAGGTCCACTATGGACCTGTTTTAGACTTGCGGTCCGTACGACTGCATCAAATCTTGCTCTCCGTGTGTTCAAATCTACGCAAGCCTACGACTTGATTTATCGTAGGAAATCAAGTCGAAACTACTGTTCCCAAAACTTCAAACTGCATATGAAACTTCATTTCTCAAACTTCAAACATCAAAACCTCACTTTCGAACTTCAAATTTCAAACTTCATCCTCAAATCTCAACTTCGAGATATCACATCTCGGAACATTGCACTTTGAATTGAATCGATTTCAATCACAACATCACCCTATGTCTTAATCTTTTGCGAGACACCTTAAGAATTGAGGTGCACAATAGTCAATTGCTGAGTAGGCTGAGCTCGAGCTCAATCTGTTTGGAATTGAGTCTGAAATGGTGAAGGTGGTGTGTGAAGCCTATAAAACAAGATTTCTAGACAAGTTGCTCAAATTCTTGATGTTCCTCATCATTGTGGTTTGAAGACTTCAAAAGACAGTCGATGTGTCTCTTCAAGGAACTTGTAGTGGGCATCTGATGGATGGTTTTTCGGATGGGATTTGTGAGAAAGATATGATAAATCATCGCAAAATCAAACCACTGTGGATCTGGTTGATTCACAGTGATTTATCGTAGTTAAATCAGACATTACATCAATCCATAGTGGATTTCATGTGGTTACCAACTTAGGTAAAACACGCGTGATCAAATTTCGCGGTCAGGAACGCAAAACTTACGATAAATCACCATCATGATAGTGGATGCTCTAACCAGCTACGTTACTGCAAAGGATGTTTCCTACAACTTCTTGCGGGTTTTCTTTCACCGTGAGCTTCACTACATATGTGTTACTGTAGTTTAATATGTAATGGACAACTCAAGGGCAACCCAAGGCAAGCTAGCAAACCTATGGCAAACCTGGGGCAAACAAGGTCCGTGATTGAAGAAAGTGGTGGACCTAGTCACCACGGCTTTGCTCAATTGTGGTTCACACTTAGAGCATCTCCTATCGTCTTGGTCAAGGGCTTCGGTACGGTAAATTTTACTGTACCGACCCTTAAATTCCCCAATCGTGTCTAAAACACAATTCGGTATGCACCGAATCGGTCAAAATTCTGTCGGTATCTGCGGGGAAACCATTGTTCTCACCATTTGGTACTGTACCGAGGCACTTTCTTTCCAACGATAGTGGATTTCCACAGTTCTGTACCGATTGATACTGTACCAAACACCTACGTACAGAAAATTTACTGGAAATTTACTCAAACGATAGGAGATGCTCTTAATGATTCCCACAGTGTGATGAATATCATGGTGATTCATTTGTGTTGTGTTGACTTATTATCATAAAACTAAAGGCACGACTGAGTTTCTTGGCAAAACTGAATTAAACCCCTTAAGCCAGGACCCCGGAAAGCTCCTGGAGAACAAACCGTCCTCAATCCATTCCGGCCCTGGCCCTCACACTTTCACTATTTGCCCCGAGGAGAGGTGGGTTAACATGGATTTCTCGGTGGTAGGAGAAGCGCCTTGATCAGGGCTCTAGATTACATATACTTTCAGTTTTGTACCACGTGTAATCACCGAGATATCCGTATGTAAGTACCCGACCCGAGCCGGTATGGATTTTTGTTGGTCTGGGGGGGCAAAAGTTACAAATCACACATTTCCCAAGCCACCAGTCATGTTCAGGGTCAGACATGTGTACCATCTGATAGCCCTCGTTGAGGCGCATCTTTTGCACCTGTCACATCTCTGGTACCATGTGACATGACTTCACAAAACACCGGTATCCGAAAACCCCCTCAGGACGGTTTGTTCTCCAGGAGCTTTCCAGGGTCCTCTTAAGCCTTCATAAGTCTCCCTGAGCCCTTAAGTATCCATAACTCCCCAACACCACAGGGGCACCCTGACCACCAATTGACCATCCCAGCCGGCCGCCAGTAGACCACCGCTCTGTGCGGAGTGACTGACCACCCCCGGGTAGTCAGTTTGGCGACAACCATGTGCCAAACATAAGGAGGCCTTGGTGGCCAGCGTGAGGGCAGCTTGAGGACGCTCATGCGGTGCCAGAGCTCTGGCCGTGCGCAACCCTCCGACAATCAGTAGGCTTTTTTCAAAACCCGCAGGGACTCAATATCTCGGGGCCAAACCCCATTGCACCTCATTGGGACCGTTGAATCAATTGGGGCACGAGGAGCTGTCAACAACGATGGCACGGCTAAGCTAAGTTAGCGCTTAGCGGTGCATTAGCTTAGCGATTTTTTGTCGCTAAGCTAGCGCTAAATCCTTAGCGCACTCAAGCTAAGCTAATCGGATTTCAATTTTTCCTTTAGGGGGTCTGCGCTAAGCTAAGCCGGGAGCTTAGCTATCAAAAAAATACATGTTTTAAGTGCAAAAAAGGGCCGCTAAGCTGCTATTAGCGGTTTAGCGGCCAATCAATTGGCTTAGCGGGTGTCATTTTACGCCCGCTAAGCTAATGGCTTAGCGTTAGCGGAAATCCGCTAAGATTAGCGTTAGCGGATTTTTCCTTAGCGGTGTGGTAATCAAATCAAATAAGAACATTCTTTCATACATACATATAAGCAAACAAGTTCCCTTTGCCCATTTTGAGTTGTCAGTTAATGACTCAATGGGATTATCATTCTAATATGTATCAATAAATACCACACACAGAAAGATTCAATATTGGACTCATTCTCTCACCATGGCACATTCACTCCCAATCAGATGATTACTTTGTGTGATTTACATCAAGTTTCGCCAAACCTGCCTCTTGATCCAAGTCGAGGCCAGGTTGACTCAGGTTCGGGAATTTATTCCAGTCCTGTACAGCTGTGTTACACAAGCGTAACAATCAACACTCAAACTCGAGTTCACATATCTCAGTACTACAAACTTGTGTAGAGTCGTGTGTAGTATTGTTAGACTCCGCCAAGCGCTGCGCATCCAAACGTGTGGTGTAAACTAGGTTTTGAGAAACCTTAAAAGACAAAGAAGTGAAATTGAGAAGCCTCATCTTGAATTTTGAAATCATTTTTTCAAAGGACGAGGGCAGCTTCACAGCGCCTGTAGTTTCATCCGCTCTCACGAGTGGTGATTCTTCCCCTCTCCGGCTAAGCCTACGCTACACTGCGTAGGAGTTCTACAGCGGCTTCTAGCTAAGCTAAGCCAAGGTGGCAAAAATCCTTAGCTTAGCTTAGCGAGCCACCGTTGCTGTCAAGACCAAGTCGTTCATTGTGGCAACGCCGGGCCACTGCGCTGCCAAATTTGCGCAACGCAGTGGAACACACCACAGCCCTTCACCGCCGCAGCGCAGCGCACCGCAGCGTTCCTGTAGCTGCCAATTGCGCTGCTGAATTTCACTTGCAGCGTTCCTGTAGCTGCCAATTGCGCTGCTGAATTTCACTTGAATTTCAAGCAGCTGCGCTGCGTACGCAGCCGCGGCTCGGGCAGCGGGCCGGGTTGTTTTCCCCCTGGGTTCACTGTACAAACCCCCCTGCCCATTGACCACTAGACCATTCCCAGCACATTCTCACCTAAAATACACTTCACGATATCAGCAACCCCAACTATTCCCAATAAATCAAATACAAGTCGCCAAACAATGGTGATGACTTCACCCTCCATCGAAGTAGCATTGAGCTACATTCCGAAACGATTCCGATCTTTCTCTTTTGGAAACGGCGAATCTCTTCTGTTATCGTTCCGCAACAGCAATTCTATTTTGGATCCTTCAAGCCCAGCTCCATCACTTAACCTTCAACTCCTTCTATCTGCCTTTCAGACTTTCAAAGCCGTATCATCTTCAATCATCATGGCTAGTAGCCCAGGAGTCAAAGATGATATTGATATCATCTCGCGTTCTGATGTATCATCCACTCCTTTACGTCAATCATCTCGTCCACCCA